AGTCCCGGAGCGCCGCTGCTCCCGGGACAGGGAGTATGGGCTCCCAGCCGGCGGCTGGGGCCGACGACCGGCGCACCTCGCTGGTTTCCCTCTGCAGGCTTTTTTCCCGGGTTTTCGTCCGACGCAGGTGCACTTTTGGTCGTTTGCGGACTGCGCTGTCTTATTAAAAAAATAACAGTAAAGCAAGCAGTCGTTTTATTGCTTTAGCTGTCGATCTCTGCAGCACTTTTCCTCGTGTAGGCTCTTCCGTGGAAAAGGCTGGTGAAGGGCCTGTCAGACAAGTCTGTCCAGGCACAGCGTGGGTTAAATTGACGGCTACATCTGTTCGTGCTGTCCTGCCTTCCCAGCAGGAGCGAGGTCGATTTGGAAAGGATTTTAATGGTTTAGAGTTCTTCATAAAATATTGTAGGTTTTTTTGCGGGAAGATGTGCTGTAGAGGGAGTGTGTTGAATGAGCTGTCATTTTTTTTTCGGAACAAACTGAATGCCAAGTTGTAAAAGGTGGTAATTCTACTCTTGATGAAGCGGCTGACTACCTGTCACTTAACGTCTGGGTAATCTGCCCTAAAAGCGTGCTTCGAAGAAGTTTTTCATCCTAAAATCTTTATAGTTTCTGTCCAATTCTCTTGGGCTGGCTTTGGTTTTTGGCTGTGATAGCTTGAAGCAGGCACCTGTGCTCTATGGCCAGTGTGCTGTTGAGTACAAGCTAAGAAATGGTTTTGAAAGGACTAACGTTACAAGTCAGACTTAGTGCTGTGCTAACGTGTTTGGACAGCGGGGTTAGGCCAGCCTGCAAAGGCTGTGTAAGAATGCAGAGACTCGATTTTGATCCCTTTTAGCTTGCGTGTTTTCACTGTATAGCATATGTTGATTTTTAAGTTTACCTGATAGTTTTGAATGACCTTTGAATGTGAGATAAGGCACAGGGCCTTACAGGGACTGCAGACTAGAAGCTGAAAATGCCCGACCATATGTGCAGTAGTCAGCTTTTTGTAGGCAAGCAGATAGCTTAGGACGCTGTAACAGTGGATCAATCTGGTCTAGAAGGGTCTACAGAAATACCAAATAACAGACCGCACCTGAATTATTTGCTCGGTATGTTGGGAAGTTGATGATAAATCTCCCACAATGAAGAAACTGAAAAACTATAACTCCCATTGTCTGTATATTTTCAAATACGTTATTTGTATGTGTGTCAGACTTCATCAAAGATAAAAAGGAATTTACAGTAAAGAAAATGGAAAGATTGTAATTGCAAATAACTTCAAGATTTATTTGGAACAAACCCAATTCTTTTTCCTAAAATCCCTGTGCTGTTAGTTAAAGTACAAATTCTAAGGGCTTATAGGATTTTTTGATACTTAAGTTTCCTATCCTGTTCTTTTGTGCAATGCCTTATATGATTTAAGGTTTTACATCATTTGGTTTTTATAATTCACACTGTGATCTTGCTTATACAGCAGTTACAATTGTTTCATGTTAAAGTATAATTAATTTCTTTTCCTCTGAAAGTATCAAATAAAACCAAGTTAATTCACTTCAAGGGATATCTTGGCCATAGAAATAATTTATTGTTTGGCAATGAACATTTAAAACCAAAACATACTTTTTAATTTACTATTTTTCTTTTCTAGGTCACTGTTCTGTGTAAGAAAAGTTACAGACTACAAATATGGGAAAGAAACGCATCAAAGGCAAAACTGCACAGTCTGATGAGTCTCTGGATACACTAGGTATGTTTCCTCAGAGAAGTCTGTGTTCCTAGTGTTTTGTTTTAACCTCAAAGAGGGCTTGAAAACTCATTAGTATTAGAAGGCCTTTACATTAGTCACTGGCTTTGAAGTCTCATTTACAAAGTGTGAGTTTGTATAATTGAAACTGAGATCTACCAAGAAACCTAAGTGTTGCTACTTTAAGTATGCTAGAAAATAATAATCCTGTCCTGAAAACTATAATTATTTTCTGGTTTTCAAGCAACTCAGATGCACAGCTCTTTACTAATACAGAGATCTTACTGAATTGTATAAACTTCCTCAGAATTTAAAGAGTTTGTAGAGTCAGCTACTAAGTTTGTCATGATACGTTTAAGTAGGATTTTCGTAATGAAGAATTTTGTTGCAGAAGATTCTCGCTTCCACAAAAAAGATTGTGATTTGTGAAACCATTTATTTGTCTTTTCACTAGCAACTAACTTAGTACTGATGCTGGACACCTCAGCTGTCTAGTCATAGTGCTTTTTGCTTAAAACCTCTTTCTCACCTTCTGTTCCTAATAGTTCCTAATCCCAAATAGTTAATGTTATCCTTCTAGTTGTACTAGATCTCACCCTTCTGTTGAAATTTGATTTGTTATCTTTTTTATGTTGTTTATTCTAGCTCTTGTTTCTGCTTGTGCCGTGTAGTATTCTCTTCTACCACCTTGTCTACCAGGTCACAGATTGAGTCTTGCCCATCTTTTCTGTTGATTCTTACTGGAGAAACAAGTTGAGCCATGCTAGTGTAGCTGTGAGAGTTTTAGGCAGGAGGCTTGGTGTGATGGCTTGTTTATTTTATATTTGTCTACTTTACTTTGGTTTCCTGTTTGTCCTAATATTGTGGTAGCTTCTGTCTCCTATGGCTTTTAAGGTTTTGTTTTTGTTTGTTTGTTGTTTTGGATTTTTTTTCCCTTGGAGTTGATCAAGATCAATGTCTGCTGTGACTTCCTCACTTTTCTCCAGCAAAGAAGTCAGTTATGGTGCAGTTGTTGATGGCATCTCGCTTCCTTGGCTAAAAATAGGCTAGATTACCCTGACAAAGTCCTGTAAAGTCACAAATGTAAAATAGGAGTGATCATTGTGAATTCCACTGTAATAGTAGTGGCCAGTATGCAATAGATTTGTTTCAAAAAGACTATTCTGAAGTTGTAGATGAAGCTTGTGGTTTTTTATAAAGGCTTAAAGAATGCATCTAAATATCTGTATTTGGTTCTTATTGGCTAGCATTTTTACTGTGGTAAAATCCTATAATTTTGGAAAGAAACAGAACCGTAGGTACAAAACTTTTCACCTGTTTCAGATCATGCCAAGAAAATGTTGCTATCTTGAGACTGTAATCTTACATATGGTCCTCAACAAAGATTCAGAGCTGTATGCCATCTGAGCAATAAAAATACCTCCGTAGCAAAGGACTTCAGATAGTTGAATTATGTAAACAGCTGTGTAATTGTTCTTAATAATAGTTTCACAAAGATGTGCTTTCTTTATTTTTTGGTTTTACATATTAAGTACATACAGCATTTTTCTTTTAGCATGGGTTTGTTTATTCTGTGCTCTTTGGCTTTTACAGTAACTTTGTACTGTCAGATATTTGACCCTGTATTTATAAATTTTGACATTTGTAACTGTGAATAGTGATAAATTGTAGGCTGATGATGATACATGTCTTGGAAACTTACACTGTAAAAAAAAAAAAAAAAAAAAAAAAAGGGGGGGGGGGTTCCTCACTTTTTATTTGGAAGAACTTGAATCAGTTTGCATATGCATTGTCTGTCAATAGCAATTTCTCTGTATGTGATTTAGGCTTACTGACAGCTTCTCTTAGTGCAAGTGACAGTGTAACCAACAACCTTAAAAATTAAAGAGAAGAAATAAGATAATTAAACTGGTAATAGCTCTTAGCAGCACATGCCCATTCTTGGTGTAACCATTCTTAGCAGAGTTTAGTTAAATAGGTGGGGTTCACACCAGGTCCAGAAGGTGCATCTCCAAGTAGTATTGTACTGCAAAGTGATTATGGTATGGATAGGATGACTCTGCCATTTTTTTTTTTGCCATAGTCTGCTGCATAATTTCACTGAGGCAGCTCAGCTGGAAGCGTAACCTCCATAATCTCCACTTTTATAGGCCAGCCAGGTGCTGCCTTGGTGACTGGGAACCGTGGCAGTGGGCTGTGGCTGCTCCCTGGGAGGTGTGGGAATCGTAACGCCACAATAATAGAAGCCCACAGCCTGGCATAGTAGGTAGGTTTGTATCCAAAAGTTTTGTCAACTTCTCTGACTAGATGTAGATTTGAGCAATACCCTTTTAATTTATTTTTTTTTTTTTAGTAATGCAGTAGTTTAGGATGCAGCAATATCTCTGGATTGTGAATGGGGGTAACAGAGGGTTTCTTTCTGATGTGGCTGCTAAATTGTCAATGTTTCTTTGACTTTAGAAAGGCTATCCTAGTTTCTGGATTGCTGCCTGTGTCTTTGAGATTGGCATTTGTTACAATACCTACATCCTTCTTGTGCTTTTTATTTTGTAGAACCTGTGTGCAAGCATATTCGTAAAGGATTGGAACAAGGTCATCTCAAAAAGGCACTGGTGAACGTGGAATGGCATGTTTGTCAGGACTGCAAGGCAGACAATAAGACACAAGAGAAATCCGAGGAGGAGACTGATGAAAGCCCTTCGATATGGTTATGTCTAAAATGTGGCCACAGGGTATCTCTTGTTTTGTTGTTAATTTGTCTTGCTATCTTGCAGTGTCTCATAGTGGAACAAGAGAGCTTCTGATTAAACTCTTAGATTCGCTCTCCTTTTATTCTAAAGGTGATGCTACATAAATGATTTTATGTACTGTAGTGTAATTAAAAAATGCCTGTTCTGAATTGCAGATAAAGTACTTAGAAGCTTGGCACAAAGGCATTTAGCAGGCTTAAGGCTAAAACATCATTCTG